TCATGTCCTGTACATGTATCCCGGAACTTCACATTAAACTAAATGAAAAAGAAAGGCTGCAAATTCAAACACTTGGCATGAGAGGCAGGATGCAAGCCTGTCTTTAGGTGACCTGCTACAGGTGTGTCACTTTCCTAGTTCCTAATATAAGTTTTCATCCCTGAAAAGTAGAGGTGCCTCTAAGCACACTGTGAGTTCTCAAAGCTCAGGACAAAGCAAAGAGAAGTAGTTCTCCCTTCCACTCACACAGGTCTGGCTCATGCTTTGAGCCATCCTCTTCCCTGGCCAAGTGAGAATGGGAGTGTTCCCTTCAGCAAAGTTCCACCTCACTACAGAGTGAGCTGACCATTGTCACCTATTCAGAATTACAACCTCAGAATACAACAGAGAAGACAAAACTCACATAAGAGCAAGATGTATGTGCCTGGCATTCTGGGCTTGTTTTCTGGAGGCAAAGCCTTCCTTCCTCCCCTTGCTTCAAGCTGAATCCACAGTAAGCCCCACCCTGCCCATTGGTAAGCGATGCTAGCAAACACACTTTTAGTTCATGCTTAGGTGATGGATGGAAAGTTCAGTGCCATGGGCTGCAAGCAGTGTGGTTCTGCCCTGAAGAAGCCTGTATCCTTTTGAGAAGACCAACCCACAGAGAAAATACAGGAATTAGAAAACCACAGCCATGGTAGATAATGCCTTAGCCAAGGTCTGAAAGGCAGGTGGCAAAAGAGCTGGGGTCTGAGATGCCCTGAGAAGGAGGGAAAGGCCCCAGCTGTGGGCAGGTCCCTTGCTCTGAGAAAGCTCCCTGGAAGAAGCTGGCTGCAGTAAGGACTGGGTGACACGCTGATTGAGAGTGCTCGGGGGAAGCAGGAGCTCTTGCGTGTAACGGATTGCATTGACGGTGCAGCGATCTCCTCCTGCTTGAAAGGAAACGGTTTAGAACAGGCACCAGAATTCAAACTGCCAAAGTGCATTTGCTTGGTTACTCCAGCTGCTTGTGAGAAGTCAGTTTGGGAGGGGCCTCTGTTCTCCCAGAGAATAAAGTAGAATCATGTCTGGCAAATGCACACAGCCCCTTCTCAGCTGGATCTAAGGGAATTGAGGCTCACTGCAGCTCCTCACCCTGACCTCAAAACCTCAGCCACCCACCTTCCCCTGCCACAGGCCTCTCTAATCTTGCTTTCCGCATCTCTCCAGGCACAGCTGTTGATGCAAGCCAGACTACTCTCCTTGTTTCTTCATTGGTCCCCTGAATGTCCTCCCCTCTCTGTGTTCCTTGTCTATTTACAAAGTGCAACCCTATACCAGCTCCATGAAAAGCCAACCCTTTTCTCCAAGGCACCTGATGCGCTTTCACAGTAAGGGGCAGTCTGAATCATCTGCAGGTAGCAAGCAAGCCAGTAAAACATTTTCTCCACACAGCTGGGAGAAGGGGCAGGACAAGAGACACACAACTCAGACCAGCTGTGGTCAGTTCGTCCCTGGAGAAAGGTGTACTTCCAGCTAAGAGGCTGCAGCCCTGACCAGCCATATAAGAGAGAATAGGCCCCAAGATGAGTGAGTAAGAGTTGAGGGTTGGCCGGGCGCGGTGGCTCATGCCTGTAATCCCAGCACTTTGGGAGGCTGAGGCAGGTGGATCATGAGGTCAATTGATCGAGACCATCCTGGTCAACATGGTGAAACCCCATCTCTACTAAAAACACAAAAATTGGCTGGGCATGGTGGCACATGCCTGTAATCCCAGCTACTCGGGATGCTGAGGCAGGAGAATTGCTTGAATCCAGGAGACGGAGGTTGTGGTGAGCCGAGATCGCGCCATTGCACTCCAGTCTGGGTAACAAGAGTGAAACCTCATCTCAAAAAAAAAAAAAAAAAAAAAAAAAGAGTTGAGAGTTGTCCAAGTGGAGGAATGAAGTGAATTAGTAGGCTGGGAGGAGGACAGGAGGTTCCCCTCTAGCCCTGGGGGCTGGAACAGGAATTTAGAAAGGCACCGTGACCTGCTATACCTCTCAGAGAGCCTGGAGGGTCTGTCTATGATCTGGAAGCCTACTGGGGCAGTCACTCAAAGAGAGGACATCCCAGACTCTGGCTCTGGATGCCAAAACAGTTTAGCAGTTTGAATTCTTGTACCTGTTTTAAGTCATTGCACTTTAGGAAGGAAGGAATTGCAAGGGGTAAGTGGGAGGGAGAAGCCTAAGGATGAAGAACCCATTGTCGGCTTCTGCCACCACAGGCTGGTGGCTAAGGCAGGGACGCCACCATGAAGTAGTTGATTCTGATATTCAAATCACTTTTCCCGACACTATTAGTGGATGTAAGGAATTGCCTCTTCCTTTTTTCCTTCGTTCCACAAAGATACATTTTTTCTTTAGCCAAAGTTTTGCTGACCATTCCTCCATTGTTAAACAGTTGCTAAGAGCCTGCATCATGTCTGGTTCTGTGCTGGGCACTGGAGACAAAACAGCAAATGGGCACCAGCTTTGCCCTACAGCAACTCACTGTCTGGAGCTGCGAACAGCCGTGTGCTCTGTCGCGTGGTGCTCAATACATTCTTCACACGTAGAGTTAAGCATTGTGGCCAGGTTTCCCCTTGCATACATTTAATAAGTACAAATTCTGTTAGGAAATTACATTTAAATATAGGAATAAAAATGTAATCACAAATCTATAGGTGCCTCATTTGTCAAAGTCAAAGAAGCACTGGGACTATTCACCCAACACAGCTGTGTGCTTTGCCTTTCCCTCTTAAATTCCCATTGTGAACATATTCCATGCAGAGAGTTTATATATTTTTCCAGGTTTTCTTTTCAAAGGCCACACCTTCAACAGAGCTAATTGCCTTGAGTTAAAAACAAGGTGAGTTCTTCTTTACTCAGATAACTTTTCATTTATTCATTAATTTGTTCAATCATTCATTCATTCATTCATTCATTCAATGACTATTTCTTGAGCACCTGCAATTGGCACTGGACACCGTGCTAAGCTTGAGAAATTCAGTGGTGAACAAGACAGAATTCTGTCCTCAGGGTCCTCGGGTCCAGTGAATTATACCCAATCAGAGCTCAGGCTCCCTGAGGTTGGGAAAACAAAGTTTCCCACTCTGGCTTGTCCTTCTTTCTATGTCTCTTCCTTGATCCTAAACAGACTGACACAAAGATGACTCTGCTTTGTTCTTTAACTCTCATGTGCCTTACCTGTGGTTCCTCTACTGAGCATTTCATCTTTTCTACTTCATTCAAAGGCAAACCACTCTGGCTCTCTCCAGAGGCGGGTTAAATTACCCCTTCCGATCTTTCCAGTTTTAAGTTTAAGGGAGATCAAGTTGTGCAAGGGAGGAGTGCTTTGAGGACTGCCTTCCGAGGGGAGTGATGCCAGGTAGTTTCTCAGACACAGCCTTACTTTGTACCATGATGTCCTGCCAATCTGACCCTGATGAATTGAATTAGAAAAGAATAACTGACTAAAAGGTAGTCATTCAAAGAGCGACCAGGGATTTACAGGGTGGTCTGGCATCAGTCTTCACAACAGGGATGTGAGTGACTAACACAGACTCTCTAGGGAATTTAAGAATTAAAGACACCAGACAGAGAGGGAGAGAAAGAAAGAGAAAATAACGGGGAGGCAGAAGCTTAAAGACACACTAAGAGAAGGCAGTACACAGAAATGAAGCACTTTATGAGTTATGAGTAAGCAATAGCCTGTAGCATCTTCAAACATGATGTAGAGACAGGGAATCATCGGGCAACCACAACAGTGGGGCAGAGATAACTCTAGAATCCCTGCTCAGCCACTGGATCTATTGGCATCACCACTAGAGTTATTATTATTCCACAAATCACTCGAATCTTTGTATGGTCCATCCATGCAGCTGTCCTCACCTTCCGTACTTGCTCTCAGTTCAGTGGTAAACCCTACTATCTGAGGGTGACCTAAGCATTTACTTTTCTTTGCATTCCAAAAGATCTAAACTGATGCAAAAATCAACCTTCATCCAAAGCCATTGCTTCTTCATTCCCAGAGTCAACATTTCATATACTCCCTAATCCAGAGGCTGGATTCTGGGTCTCCCACTTCTGCCTGTGTGCACTCTGTGTGAGCACAAAGAACATGATGATTTTCCCCAGGTGTTCATCAGTGATGCAAAACTTGAAATGCATCAGCTTGATCCAGCACCCTAGAGTAAAGTGAACAGGCTTGCTGGCAATTTATCCTACATACTGTGAGATAATTGCGATCGATCAAAGATGTCATGAGACTCAGAAAAAGGGAGCACTGGACAAACTGGGCACATGAGGATAGAGGGGATGTCTCTGACATTCTCAGCTGAAAAATGGGGATAATATATCACTTAAGAGTTGTGAGAATAAGCAAGCCACTTAATTCTCACAGCAAAGTGAGTGTTCTTGAAAAAGTTATGTGTTGGACATGTATGTTCATCGCGGCACTGTTTACAATAGCAAAGACCTGGAACCAACCCAAATGCCCATCGATGATAGACCGGACAGGGAAAATGTGGTACATACACACCATGGAATACTATGCAGCCATACAAAACAATGAGTTTGTGGCCTTTGCAGGGACATGGATGAACCTGGAAACCATCATTCTCAGCAAACTGATGCAAGAACAGAAAAACAAACACCGCATGCTCTCACTCATAGGTGGGTGACGAACAGTGAGAACACATGGACACAGGGAGGGGAGCATCACACACTGGGCTCTGTTGGGGGGTGCTAAGGGAGGGACAGAGGTGGGTGGGGAGGTTGGGGAGGGATAACTTGGGGAGAAATGCCAGATATAGGTGATGGGGGGATGGAGGCAGTAAACCACCTTGCCATGTGTGTACCTATGCAACAATCCTGCATGATCTGCACATGTACCCCAGAACCTAAAGTGCAATAAAATACATAAATATGTCATGTGTTGTGATGATTTGAGGACGTGTATGGCACCTTCTGTACACCAGACCATGCTGCCTTCACACGGGACTGATAAAACAGGCCTACCTTGCCAGCCGGGCTTGCAAACTGGCTTCACGTCCACCTGCACCAGGGTGTCCTGAGCAGCGGGCTTCTGTCCACAGTCGTAGGCGGTCACCAGGATCTCATACTGGTGTTGTTTGTCATAGCTCAGCTTCTCGGTATTCCTGATATTGCCTGAGGAACAGGGATGTTCACAATCATTTCAGGTCAATCTAACCACAGTGTCTTTCTTCCAAATTCCTTCTCCACTCCACCCACCTTCACAAAAAGAAAGTGACCCTTTTACCTATCTGTTTGTAAAAACAAGGGCAAACAGGAGCATGGCTCCACTTGTAGCCTGCTTATGTTCTGGTGGCAAATTTCCGGGAACCACTGGCTGGAGCCACCTAGCGGTGCAATAGGACTGCCAGGGAATTTCCAGCACACACCTGCAATCCAACTGGCTTGTGTTTACAAGTAATGGGTTGCCAGAAAACTTCCTCTTAAAGTACAGCTGTGTGATTTTGTCCCTGGTGTAGGGCAAAGACCACTCATCTGCGAGGACATCTTTGGAAAAAAGATGGAATTCAGAAAATGTCCTGACACGTATTTTTTAACATCTGGGCTAGTCGCCAGGAATGCTCACTGCCTCATCTCACATTAGTTTGCTACCAAATAGGAAGCAAAATCAATAAGGAAACATGTGATCTCCCTTCTGAAAGCTACACAGAATAACAGATTTCTTGTCCTGAAGAAGATACTTTTCTTTTCTAAAAGAGACCAAGTAATTTTTTTCTGAGTCATTTGTGTGTTCCTGTGGGTTTGATATCATGATTCTGAAATAAATATTTGGTAATTAATGAGCAAAATTTTAATTATTTTTTCTGAAATACAATTTTAGTTTCAAAGAACTAATAAAGACCTAAAGTGCATTTAATACTTTTCAGCTTTTAATTATAAGAGATTAAAGTATTTTGCTGAGAATGATTTCATTCCTACTTTTATTTTGGCAGCAGAGTTGACAGCAAATTAGAATTCAAATGTAATCATCTTTTACCAGAAACTTTAAAAATTGAAATTAAAAAACACATCAACAAAATAGGCCAGGTGCAGTGGCTCACATCTGTAATCCCAGCACTTTGGAAAGCTGAGGTAGGCTAATGGCTTGAGGACAAGAGTTTGAGACCAGCCTGGCAAACATAGTAAAACCCCATCTCTGAAAAATTAGCGAGATGTGGTGGTGTACATCTGTAGTCCCAGCTACTCAGGAGGCTGAGGAACAAGAATTGTTTGAACCTGGGAGGCAGAGGCTGTAGTAAGCAGAGATTACAACACTACCCCAGCCTGAGTGACAGAGCAAGATTCTGTCTGGAAAAAAAAAAGTGAGCGGGGATCACACCACTGCGCTCCAGCCTGGCAACAGAGTGAGACTCCTCTGTCTCAAAAAAAAAAAAATCAACAAAATAAACAGGGAATGGCTGACTCATACACACACACACACACACACACACACACACACACACACACAGAGAGAGAGAGAGAGAGAGAGAGAGAGAGAGAGCGAGCGAGAGCGTGTGTGTCTTGCTCTGTCTTTGAAGCTCGAGTTCAGTGGCATAATCTTGGCTCACTGCAATCTTCCACTTCCTGAGTTCAAGTGATTCTCCTGCCTCAGCCTCCCAAGTAGCTGGGACTATAGGCATATGCCACCACGCCTGGCTAATTCTTGTGTGTTTGTAGAGAAAGGGTTTTGTCATGTTGGCCAGACTGGTCTCTAACTCCTGATCTCAGGTGATCCACTTGCCTTAGCCTCCCAAAGTGCTGGGATTACCGAAGTCAGCCACTGCACCAGGCCTGACTCAGGTATGTTTTTACATTTCATCAAAACTCAAGAAAAATTACCTCAACGAGCTTTCTTTTCCATTCTAACTGCTGTGTATTGTTTATGCACATTGAAAGAACATGGAAAAGAAAGCTTAGAAAATTTGAAAAGTCCAATAATGCTTTAAAGATATAATTTTTTAAAAAAGGGTCCACCAATCACCCAATATTAGTGAAATAGTATTAGCACCAGGCCGTAAGCAGGTGCTGCACGTGTGAATCTATGTAAAGGTGGGAGGAGCAGGGAATGGGAAGTGTGACGGGCAGACAATGACTGATGTCCGGGAGGGAATAAGAAGTGACCCAAGACACTGGATCAAGAATTAGAGTAATCTACCCTGCTATCTTCTCTGGACTATTTCTTTTTTATCTTATTCTGAGACAGAGTCTTGCTCTGTCGCCAGGCTGGAGCACAGTGGTGCGATCTCGACTCACTGCAACCTCTGCCTCCCGGGTTCAAGCAGTTCTCCTGCCTCAGCCTCCCGAGTAGCTGGGGTTACAGACATGTACCACCACGCCCAGCTAATTTTTGTATTTTTAGTAGAGACGGGGTTTCACCATGCTGGCAGGATGGTCTCGATTTCCTGACCTCGTGATCCATCTCCCTCGGCCTCCCAACGTGCGGGGATTACAGGTGTGCGCCACCGCGCCCGGCCCTTCTCTGGACTATTTCTAAAAATACAACTGCATCTGCCAATTTGAGATAGAATTTCGTTAACAATATAAATAGTTTGACTTAATATTTTAAAAATTCAGTCTAAAATGTCTGAATAAAAGTGTGTTTAATGTGTTTCTAGGTTAGCGGCTCGTGTTCAGAATACCTTTTATTTCTCCCCAATTACTGTTTCCCTCTCAATTCTGAGGGCCGGCACAGGCCTGCAATGGCTCAGCGTTGGTTGGTAACAGTCCCCATGGATTCTGTTAACAAACTTGCATGCGGTTATAGTTTTCACAGGGGAGGAATTCTGTCAGGTAGAAGTACTTTAATATAACCATGAGAAGTGTATTTTCATAACATCACATTGAATTTTGAAAAAAAAGTTCACTTTCTTTAAAATTAAATGGCTCTCAACAGACACTCCTCTTACAAAAGGAAGGCTCAGCATTTACAATCTGTGCGACGTTAAGCAGACCAAACACTACTGATTGTGGTAGAAAAATAAACACAAGCTGAATCCTTGGCTCAGTTGGTTACAGATCTACTTCCCCAACGAGTCTTAATGAAACTGAGAAACTAATTGACCTTCTCCACCACCACCAACTTCATTCGTGTGAAAATGAGTTTCAAAGCACAGACTTTGAAGCATTAGGTCAAAATTGTGACCAACTGTTGCATGGGAGAAGGTCATATTTGGATAAGATATACATTTTAAAAATGTTCGAAAGCTCGGAAAAGTCACATGTTTTGCTTCTGTTACAATTGTATCTTTTTCTCCCATATTTCAGTGATTTTTCTACTACTATCTTCTGAGGGAAGACCTAATCCCACAGTTAACTATGGTGAACATCAGTCCCTGGACCTTTCTCCAAATCAATTTGAGAAATTCACCTTCAAAGAGCAACCAGTCCCTATCTTGCATATTAGTTTAGCTATTATTATTTTTTTTCCTCTGGGAGAGTGGGGTCTGAGGGGGTGAGACAGACATACTGACCAACACCCTCCTTCTAGTGGAGTTTAAATTGGAACAATCTATCTGAAAAGCTACTTGGTAATATACACCAGTCATTTTGAAATTGCTTGTACTTTTGGGGCATGCAATTCCTTCTTTAAAAATATGATACAATTGCAGATACATGTGCAAATATGTTCATCTAATGTTATTTATTACACTGAAACATAGTCTGATGGTATAAGGGAAGAGCTAAGCATAACATCTATGCATAAGATGGATTGTTGTTCAGCAGTAAAGTGGTTTTCATAAAGAATGTTTAAAGATGGGGAAAATACATATAATTAAATGTTAAGTGGGAAAAGGAGGGAGGACAAATGCAGGGATATTGTGGCCCTAATTTTGTTTAAAAACTTTACAGAAAAACTATTGAAAATATGACAAACTGTTAATAAGGGTTACTTTGGCAGGATTATGGGTGACTTCATACTTTTCTGTGCTTTCTGAATTTCCCATACAAGGCATTTCTATTCATATAGGAAAGAAGTATCTTCATTCACGTTAAGAAGGAGCAGACTTCAGGATACGCTTCGCTCAGAAGCATGAGTCTTGTTATTATATAGCTTCAGCTGGCCTCTCTCCTGTTAGAAGGGCAGCCTTCCGACAAAGAGATAGGCCAGCTGAGGCTGCATGAAGACCAACTGCTTGAAAAGTAAAAAATCAGCCAAGTGGGTGTCATTGAGAGCCTACTGCTCCCTCCACTGTCATTCCCTACCGTGGCTGAGTGGTGGGCTTGTGCCAGAGGCTCTAGTACCTTGTTGGCATCAGTTCAGGTAATAATTGCATGGCACAAGAACAATATTTAATTCCCATTTTACTGGTGATGTTCTGAGACAAAGTTTAAGCAACTTGTCAAAGACCACACACATGCGCGCACACACACACACACACACACACACACACACACAAACACGAGTGGTGGATGCAAGTGTGGGGTCCACCAATTGGCGGGATTTTTTCAAGCTTTATTGAGGTATGATTGACAAATAAAAATTGTATATATTTAGGGAGTATGTGATGTTTTCATATATGTATATGTTATTAAATGACTACCACGATCAAGCTATTTAGCATATGCCTCATGTCACACAGTTACCTTTCTCTCTCTCTCTCTCTCTCTTTCTCTCTCTCTCTCTCTGTGTGTGTGTGTGTGTGTGTGTGTGTGTGTGTGTGTGTGTGTGTGTGTTGAACTTAGTTGAGATCTACTCTCGGCAAATTTCAAGTATATAATCCATTACTATTAGCTATATCACCATGCTGAACATTCTCCAATACTTATCTTATATTAATAACTAAAGTTTATGCCCTAGGATCAATATCTTCTCTTTCCCCCCACTCCCTCCCTAACCCCTGGCAACCACCATTCTACTCTCTGTTTCTGTGACATGAAATCCTTTTAAGAGTTCATGTGTAAGTGTTATCACGAGGCATTTGTATTTCTGTGTCTGTGGTAGTTCACTTAGCATAATGTCCTTTAGATTCATCCAAGTTGTTGCAAATGGCAGGATTTCCTTACTTTTTTAAGGTTGAATACTATTCCGTTGTATGTATGTCTCTCTCACATATTGTTTTATCCATTCATCTGTTGACAGTCTCTTAGGTTGCTTCGATATCTTTGCTATTGTGAATCATGCTGCAATAGATATG